AGAGAACATTTTAACATTTTGGACCTTGGGTACAGAAAACTGGGTTAGTTCTAATCTTTGGTTCATGACATTCAGCACTGGTTCACACATGGTCTGCCTTTAGTTACGTCCAACATAAGTGTCCTGAATGGACTTCTCAAAAATGTTGGGGGCTTGACCACACGGTACCACATCCCCTGCCTCCTCCCTTGTAAGCATTCCATCCTTACGTTTCTCTTCAGCACTGTCCTTTCTCCTCCTGTAAGTCACATCTACAGGACTCGAAGTGTATTTTACTCACCTTTTTATAGGCGGGCATGCTGTATATCTTGAGACCTTTCTGCTCACTGTATCTCTAAGGCTTACCATGCCTTCTGCTTGGTTAGTCGGGGGTCACTAGTTTTAATTACTACACAATATTCCACTGGAAGATCGTATCCCATTTTATTCGTCCAGTCTTCAATGGGACTTCGGTCGTTTCTAGGTTTTTGCTTTCTGTGAATGGTGCGAGGAACTCTTGACTCCTGTTATCCATGTGCAAGTTTTCCCTCAGTACACACTTAGGGCTGACGTTTCTGGATCACAGGATGTGCGAAGTCCAACCCTAAAAGATATCACATCTTCTAAAGGACTGACCCACTTCTGAGTAACACCAGAAGCTTATAAGAAACAATGTGGGATCCCTCCAACCCTAGATACCATCAGACTGTTAAATTTTTGCCAATTGAACGGATGTAAAATGGCACCTCACTGATGCCACTCGTGTTGATCTGCACTGTAATTTCTCCCAGTTTGTAACTCAGCTTTTCACTTTCTTTGAAGACACTTCATCATCTATTAGAGCGGGGGTGTCTGGGTGGCTCAGTCGATTAAGCGTCCGACTTTGGCTCAGGTCGTGATCTCACAGCTTGTGAGAGAGATGTGCTGTCTCTCTCAAAAATAAACATTAAAGAAATTATCTATTAGTGCATAAAAGACTTCATCTTCCTTTCTTTTTAAAGTGGAAATATAGTTGACATAGGATATTCTGTGAGTTTCCGGTGTGTTTGCCATTGTGATTGTACACTTACATACATTTAAAAAGCTCATCAGAGTCCGTGTAGTTACGACGTGTCACCATACAGGTGTTACAATACTGACTATGTTCCCGGTGCTGTACTTTTCATCCCCGTGACTTATAACCTGAATTTTGTACGTCTTCATGCTTTTCACGTATTCACCTGCCCGACCACCCCCCAGACCCCCTGGCAGCCACCAGTCTGTTCTCTGTACTGAAGTCTGTTTGTTCATTTTTTATTCCACGTGAGTGAAATCATACAATATTTGTCTTTTTTTTTTTTTTTTAATGTTCATTCATTTGAGAGTCTGAGGAGCAGGAGGGCAGAGAGAGGGAGACACAGAGTCCGAAGCAGGCTCCAGGCTCCGAGCTGTCAGCCCAGAGCCCGACATGGGGCACGAAATCATGACCTGAGTTGAAGTCGTACGCTTAACCAACTGAGCCACCCAGGTGCCCAGTGTTTCCTTATTTCACTTCGCAAAATAACCTCTAAGTCCATCCATGTTGTGCAAATGGCAAGAGCTCATTTCTTACGACTGAGTACCATCCCATTGTATATATATATACATCTGAATCCGTTCATAGGTCGATGGGCCCTTAGGGTGCTTCCGTGTCTTGGCACTTATAAATAATGCTGCAATAAACAACGAAGCCTGCATTTATCTTGCTGAATTAGCTTGTCTTCCTGAAGTAAACACTCCAAAATAGAACTGCTGGATCGTATGGTATATTTACTTTTCGTCGAGGGACCTCCACACTGTTCTCCACAGCGGCCGCACCAGTGTGCATTCCCACCAACTGTGCACGAGGGTTCCCCTTTCTCCGCATCGCCAACACCTGTGTCTCCTGAGTTGTTAACGTTGGCCACTCTGAAAGGTGTTGAGGCGGTACCTCGTTGTGGTTTTTATTGGCATTTCCCTGATGACGAGTGACCTTGAGCATCTTTTCGTGTCTGTTGGCCGCCTGGATGTCTTCTTTGGAGAAGTTTCTACTCAGGTCTTCTGCCTGTTTTTGTTTTTTTTTTTTT